AAATGCATGGTCAGAAATGTCACCAGAAGCATGGAGCCAGGAACCTGTAGAGGGTCACCGGGTGAAGTGGCTTTTTCATTAAGAAGGGCCTTCAGTAGAGTAAAGCGATACCAGGACCTCAAGGAGGAGAAACTTCTGTCAAGATTCCAATACAACACACCCCAATTAGCCTCAATATTGAAAAGCTAAGCCCGTGGAGTTACATAAAGAGCCCTTGCTCTTCCTCTGTCCTCTTTTTGGTTACTAACAAGTAGAACAAGGGTAACACGGTGTTGAAGAGGTGGACCTCCCACACCCCACTGTGGTCCTGCCGCCCCACCTCCGCCCTGGGTGGACCCTCACCTAGAGCCCCCTTCCCTCCCTTCTTGGTTCCGACCTTCCACACCATCTCCTCCCCAACCCCTGGGACTCTGTCTCCAGGGAGCCTCTCCCGGGGTCCCCCCACGGCCTCGTGACTTCTCCTTTCTGAGAGTAGACAGCTTTGACTGAGCGTCATCTTAGGAAACTGAACATCAGTAGCCACGGCTGACATTAACTGCCCATTATTTTTATGACTGTGCTGAGCACTTCACACTGGTTGCTTAGTTCAGTCCACGCAGGCACTTTAACGATAGGTCCTACTACTATCCTCGCTTTATACACGAGGAAACCAAAGCTCAAGAGAGAAGCTGCTCTTTGGGAAAAGCCAGAAAAAGGGAAAAGATAGAAAAGGACATCACTGTCCTAAGTCTGTACCTGCCCCTCATTCAGCCCCTGCGCCTTCTCTTTCTGGTCCTGGCTGCTTTTACAAACTCCTGGGCTCTGTCCTCTAGACCAACACCCGCAAGCGTTTCCCTATTAGATTCTGCACGTGCAGTGGCCCTGGAGCCTCCCTCTGCCACAGCATCACTTTCTTTCCCAGTAAAGGGGCAGATCTTTTCAGAGTACACATTTCAGATCTATTTCAAGAGAAGAGAGAAATCTCCTGGCTACGAATTTGCTTCCAAAGCTCTTCAAGTCTTCTTGCTGGTTAGATTCTGGCTCAGCTTCTCCTTCTGAAGTTGCTTCTGTCCCTGGTGGCTCACTGTGCCTGCCCTTAGAGTGTGGGCAGGTGCGGGGCCTGCTGTGGCCTGTCCCCCACCCCCAAGGGGGGAGTGTGTCCTGGGAAGGTTTGGAATTACAGGGACGATCCCTGGGGAAGAGGCAGAGCTAAGGAGGTGGTGTCTTTTGGGGGACTGAGTTTTGCTTTTTTAAAGCTTAAACATTTCAAAATCGCCTTGTCATTTTCAAAGGTTTCTTAGCATGCAAAGGAACTAAATGGCAAAGGCTATGATTGTGAGTTTAGCTAGATTTTAACACCTTTTTTTCCCCCTCAGTTTCAAAATGTGTGGGCAGTTTCAGAATGCAAAGCTGCATCTCACATGGGAGAGCTGGGGTCTGATTCTTCCACGTCCAGGAGGGCACTTAGGAAGAGTACAGGTTCCTGGTGGGTCAGAGGGAATCAGATTTGCTAACACACACTGTTAGGGACTGAACTGTGTCCTCCCCAAGTTCATACTTGAAGTCCTAACTCCTAGTACCTCAGAAGGTGACTGTATTTGGAGATTGGGCTTTTACAGAGAAAATTAAGATTAAACGAGGTCCTTCGGGTGTGCTCTAATGCAATATGACTAGTGTCCTTGTACGAAGAGGAAATTATGACATAGGTAAATACAAAGGAAGACTGTCTGAGGACATGGAGAAGATGGCCTTCTACAAGCCAAAGAAAGAAGCCTCAGAAGAAACCGACCTCCTGACACCTTGAAACCTTCCAAAAAACAAAGCTACACCAGGATTCACCATGAGATTTCTGACTTCCAGGATCATGAGACAACCCACTTCTGTGGTTGAAGCCACTCAGTCCGTGGTAATTTGTTACGGCAGCCCTAGCAAACTAATACAGTTTTCACACAGTGTCTGATACCCAGTTAAATCGACGGCTTTCTGTGATCTTAAAGCTTCAGCAGAGCCAGAAGTGCCTTCATAAATATTTCTCTGAAAAAAGTGGCAAACCGAGGCTCACAGAGAAGCACGCTTCACACGTGCAGCCTTGGATCCTGCAATTCCTTTTGAGAGATGCCTCGAGAAGACAGTGGAGAGTCAGCCCCGCTGAGATTTTTACCTGTGGTTCTAGGAACTCGGAGGTATATTAGCATTCAGGCTTTGCATAGACCACTAAGCCACTTCTAAGAACAAGGCTACCTGAGGCATTTTGCAAAAACATACGTGCCGATGCTCTTCCTCTCTAAGCCTACTGCAGCTCTGAGGGCCCACACGTGGTACCCCTCCAGGAGACCCAAGTTTGGGTCCTGCAGAGACTTCACGCCGTGAACCACGTGGAACCATGCAAGGGAATTTCAACCACACCTCGTCTTCTTGCCTGAGCACATTCAGTGAGAAGCCGGTGCAGTGGGACAGAAAGAGAGCGGCCTTCTCTGTGGTAGACCACACTTGTTTTGCATGCCAGGCTCTCAGACTCTCGCTTGCCTTGTCACACAGAAGGGAACAATGGTTTGCTGGGCGCCACACTTCTTTTTCCCCTCCATTTCCACGTGGGTATCTTGCTAAAAATGAGTTACGGGTTTCCTCCTGTGAGAATTGCATGCACTGATAAAAGACCATCCCAGGAACAAAACAAAATGTTTTCCCCGCTCGCTCGGAGCTGCAGCTGGGGAGGGCACAGACACTCTAAATTACAGGCAGTGAGAAATGACCACAGTGCTGGGAGCCGCTGATGGCCGGGCTGGGGAAACAGGGGTACCAACTCGGGGGAGAACATTTTGTTAGAGAGGAGGGCGATTCTTCTAGCATCACACTCTGAGGCACTACCCACATAGCACCAAATGCCATGACATTCTGCCGCCGTTACAGCTCAGATGTGTGGTGTGGACAGCTAACGCAGACAATGTAAACACTTGGCTTGACAAATCACCTAGATAAAGTGAGCTGTGAAAGTGGCCAAGATTTCACTTTGATTCTCTGAAATTCAATCTCAATATTATATTCTTGAGTTAGAGATTATGAGAGGCCCCGAGTTCCTTGGAGAGGAAGGAGTGAAAAGACCTTTTCCCACGAGCCCTTCTAGGTCTTGCTTGGGGTCCTGGGGTCCGCTCCATGCTGCCCCTTTGAAAGCTAACTGCCACTGGTTCCTAACCTGGAGCGGGCTGGTGACTGTCCTGGGGACACAGAGGCTGTGGGGCTGCGTTAGAGGCTGAGCTCCCTGTCTTTCCCGGCATCTGAGCGGGTCACCGGGTCCCCTCATTATCTCTGCTGTCCGACCAGTAAGGACAGAAGGCAGGCCAGCATTGCACACAGAAATCCAATCTATTACCCAGTGGAATGTTGAAAACTTTCCTGAACCTGCCTTCCTGAGTTGATAGAATAGGAAACAATCATCGTTTGGAGGGGGTATTGAAAGCAGAGTCGAAGCAGGAAGATCTTTTTTTTTTGTCTGTTATTCTACAAATATTGCTTCCTTGCTTGTTAGCGGCCTAGAGGAAATGCAGCGAGAGTCGTCCACAGCTTCTCACCAGCGGCCGGCGTTTCGGCCCATCGCCGCGAGGATGTGTGACTCATACGCGTCGCATGATTCAACTTCACTAAAATGTCCTCAGCTGCCAGTAAAGAAGCACTTGAAAACCCTTTAATTTGAAGCTTTGAATCGGTTAATGACTTGCTTTCTTCTCCGTCTGAAATCCTACCGTCCCCCAACACACACACACACACACACACACACACACACACATCTTTGTCAAGTGTTTAAATTTCAGAGACCCGGAAACATAGAAGCTCTGTGACATCCACAATAGCGTTTGTTGTGACAAAGTGGCTGGCAGCCCTCTGCATTCTTCGGCTCACTTGGCTTGATGAATAAATAATGAGTCACAGATACTATTTGGGTGCGCGCGAGAGTTTGTAGCCAGAAAATTAATTATTTCCCCATCCCATCCATCCCACTCCATCCCAGCTCTGCCAAACCATCAAGCCACACTCCGCAGGCACTGGTCAAAGTGCTTGCCCCAGCACACGGCAATGCCTCCGTGACATTTCTATGTTATTATTTGTGTTGGTTTAGGCGCGGCCCTATATTCCCAGCAAAGATACACAGAACGCACATGCACACACACGTACTCATACACTCAGAGCTCAACCCCAGCTCTGTGTATTTCAAGAAGCTGGTTGCAAAAATGCAGACAGGTATCCCACAGTAGCTGCTCCTATTAGGAAACGGGTAATCTAATGACTTCAGCTGCCACAAACACTTGACTTAGGCAACTTTTTCATTGCTCTTGGCGAGAGAAACCTCTGTACCCTTTGCTTTCTTTCTCTCTCAAAAGAAGCCGGCTGCCTCTTTGCACTGAGGCTGCAAGGAATAACCCAGCATGGCCCCATCCTAGGGCTTTCAACCTACACGAGTCTGCCCAGCTCCTGTTCTCTCTGCCTTTTGGAGACAACTGACTTGCTACTTGGTCCCTGCTGTTCCCGCCCGGGCTGTGAGCCTACCTCCGCCTCTGCCCTACGCTGGCATCGGCCCTCCTGGCTGGCCGTGCACGAGCCCACTAAAGCCCGGGACAGGCTGGCATGTGGGGCATACTGCATGCCCAGCGCAGAACAACTCAGCCACAGTCATCCCAGGCAAGGGGCAGCCGAAGAAAACCCAGAGAGCTTCCTGCAAACGTTCTAATCTCTAGGATTTTAATCAGGAGCAGCCCAACTTACTTGCACTTGACAAAGTTCTCACCCACCGACTGAACCCTTCAACAGCTCAACTAAGTATTTATGAGAACATTTCTGAAGAGTGGCCATCTGATGAAGAAGTAATCCAATAGTCTTGAAATCATATGCCCGAGTCTGAATTCCTCCTATACCAGACAGACAGGGCACCGGCAGGGGCTCTCTCTGCCCCAAGTTACAACAGGCTGCCACTTCATTATCAGCAACACTGAGCAAAAGTAGATATGAAAAGCCCAGAGCGTACTCACCTCTCATGAAGCACTGTGGGTATGAAGGAAATGACTCAAATATGCTGTCTGAAGCCATCGCTTCCTCCTGAAAAGGTACCTTCTTCTGAAGGCGGGGGATTCAATGATTTCTTTTACCTTAAGAACGAAAACCCAAGAAAGGTCACTGTTTTAACCTCATCCCCAACGATGGTTTCCTACAGCTCCTTTTCTCCCCCCTCGACGCCTCTGGGGCTCCCTGAGCCTTATGAAAAAAAATGTACCTTTGCGAAGACAAATATTCAAATTGGTAAAGATTAAAAAAAAAAAAAAGCGGCGTCTTGGCTGTGGGTTGATGATGTTCAGAACTCTGCGAAACCCTGTGGTTTGCAGTCAGTGTGATTCGTCCTGCTTACTGACCACTATGCCGGGCTCAGACTTCTGACACTGCCAGGCTACCCAACTTGTGGTTCTGTGGTTGTTTATGAGGCCCAAAGAAGTTTTCACACAACCCAAATTACAAATTTAACTGTTCCCCTTTCCACAGCCCATCTTAATTGGTTCTTGCCAATCATGTGACTTCAGTGATGTCAATTCTTTTTTTTTTTTTTTACTTTCTGAGCAATGCCCTTCCTTCCCTCCACCTGCCCTCCCCCCGGGCGGTGCAAGAAAATAGCCGAGTAGACTTTGCAAGAGAGAGAGAGAGAGAGAGAGAGAGAGATTGTAGAAGAAAGTGACTCAGTCTCTTATTTTATCAATGGTCTTTGCTGATTTAGTACAACTTGAGTCCTGTTGTTGTTATTTGTGGTTTTGGGAACTCCTGATTATTTTGATAAAGATTTCATTGCTGCTTATTCAATAGTAATTCAACCCTAGCATCGGGCTTCTGCTCAGACAGGATGTGGACCTCATCATTTAAGATGCTGGGCATTGGCTCAGGAGAATTCAGCCCTTGGTAAAGACGATCACGGCATAAGTGAAACTATGAAAGGAAAAAAAAAAAAAAAAAACTAAAAGGAAATGTTTTGATGAGAGTCTGACCCCTAAGGGGGTCTAGCAACTTACTGGTATTTTAAAGTCTGCCAAAAGGAAAGCATTTTAATTTTGTGATCAAAAGACCATTTTAATAAAACCAAAAGTTTGCGGTTTTCTTCCTGCTAACTGGACATCTTTTCAATAAAGAGATAAAATTATAGTACTCTCTTACACACACATACACACACATGTAATTTAGGAAGCTAAAGGAAAACAAAGAAAAGAGAGATTCTGTATTTTGGGTCAAAGCAGTGGCTATCTGGTAACTGTTTACTTTTTGTTCTCACCCATGAAAGATCACTGTATTGCCTTTTCAATTCAAATCAGTAGGCTAATTCATACCTCTAGGTAAAACTCAGCCCAGGACTACTGTAACTGTGCTTTGAGAGCATTTAGAAGACCTCACAGAAGATAGAGGAACCAGAGGCGGTGATCCTCCAGAGCAAGAGGCTGATGAAAGAATATTATATAGCTCATCCTCTGCCTTAGGAAGAAGACATGCCAGCTTGGAAGTGCTAAAAATAGGCTAATTTTGCACGTGGGCCAGCCATCCTGGGCACACACGTATTTATTTATTTTTCCTGCCCATTGGTTTTACCTACTAACAAATCAAATATTGATCTGAAGTTCCAAAATAAGCATCCCCTTTCCCCATTAATGACTCTACTTCTTTTGCTCTGCTCCATATACGTCATCCACGGCACTCTGTATATAGTTTCAATGCACGTGGTCAAGAGAAACTATGAGACAAGAGGTTTCAAAATGCCAACCCTGGGTTCCAAGCTGGTCTGTGATAGCCGGCAAAGGCACTCTGTAAAGTCTGTACTATCAGGACAGCTCCTCAGGTTTTCCCTTCATCTTTTCAACTGCGTCCCCACGCACCAGGGATACCACACTCAAAGGCCATGGCGCAGGGCTTTTAAAAGGAATAGACATGATTTTTACTAACTCCTGTTTTGACATAAGCAGGAATTGAAACTCGAGAGACTGCTTTCTCCCAGACTTGTGTGAAGTTAGCTTGGCAAACGTTGACACCTTATTAATATTTCAAAGAGTAATAATGTGTGCATTTCTTTTATGAAGTTTATGAAGATCTCAATGTCATGCGTGTTGCGTAGAACTCTCAATGAAAATCCTTTGTGAAGATAATTAACAGTATGTTTCTGGGCTCCCTGATAAAGTCGCGGCTGGTTAAACCCCATATCAAGTTCTTTTCTCTCTGCCACACTGAATGCTGCCTGGCAGGATCCTAGGAGCTCAACGCTGTAACATGCAGCTGTCACTTCAGAGTCGGCTGAGACTTAATGACTTAGAAATTCGAGTGGTGATGCAGCTAAATCCTTTGGATATCTCATTTTAGGAACTCCCCAGATGATTTTAGCCTTACGTGTCCAGATGCTTGAGGGGAGGGTTTGGATGTGTCAGTTAAATGCCCAAATTCTTGGCTTTCCTCTGTGGGCCTAGTTGGAGCCTAATACGTATCTTTCCCATGGAGTCTTCGTAGGACAGGTCGAGATTAAAGATCACAGTAAGGCTGGGATTTGCTGCGGCCTCGAGCTTTGCTGCAATCATCTGGGCTGGGGTTTCCATGGGGCACCAGGGGGCAGAGTCTTAAGGCCTGCACGCCGGCCCTGAGCTGCCTTTCTCCGGGTTATCTGACATGACAACCAGCAACAGAACTTGACGGCTCGGTGAGGCCACAGTTGGGGTTTTTCTGGGCATCCTCCAAGTCATGACGATAATAAAGACTCATCCAGCTGGTGGTGAACTTGGCCTTCTCTCTTCCTTAGGAGCCCAAGACGAAAGGACACGTGTGTCATCAGTGAACCGCCTAGGGGGATACTCAACTGTATCTCAGCTAGAACCGTTCGGGATTCTTTAAGTTTGTGCACTGACCCCACACCCTCTGTCCTACTTCCTTCAAGTGACTCAGACTCTGGGCTGCTGGCTTGGGAATTTTACCCAAGCGGCTACAGCAACTGTGGCTTTGCAGAGTAATTAGATGGCAGTTTTCATCCCCGCTCAGTTTGTCTACAGCTTCTATTAGGGGGGCAAATATGCTCAGGTGTCATTTTTAACGGTTCTATAAAAATACTGGCAAAGATGGGAAGATGCACATTTGTGTAACCTCATAATTAATGTATAGGCTTCTGTGTGCGGTCCAATCCAATCCAAACATTCTGTTAGGCTTTTTCATTCCATGATTACCGTACACTGTCTCTGAACGTGTTTATTGTTAAGAACATTCTCTGGCCATAAAATGGAGGCAAAGAAGATCCTCCCCCCCGCCAAACTGTATATAGTCTAAAACCCCAGGAGGACGAGGCTTGTAAATAATCTCTCCACAGCACACGTTTCCATTATTTTCTAAATCTTTGTGTTCCAACAGAGGTGCTATCCAGAAACTTCCATGCCATGCTGATAATAACCTCAGTGATAATTTTTAAACTGGGACATAGACGTCAGAGCTTCATGGAAGGAATATAATCTGCTCTTGGCAAATCCTAGATTTTAAAACAACTGGAGAGCTCTGCAGGCCCAAACGTTAAAGGTTTTCTCTCCTGGACCCTCATGGTGGCATCCCCGGTGGGGCACATCTGTCTTATGCACAAGCCCCTCTGGATAAAAGTACAATTCACATGTAAGACTTTGTTTTATAGTCAGGCAAGAGTTTCAGTATTTATTTCTTAACCTTCCCTAGATGAAGATGTATTTATTGCTCAATGGGGAAATAGGAAAATAGGATTTTTTTAAAAAATGCATTGAAATCAACCCATCAAATGAAAGCCGTCTAATGGTATAAAAAGCTGTTTAATGACCATTGTTTCAAATATAAGACTTTAAACTACTTTGCTACTCCAAGAGTGACCTGTGGACCAGCATTACTAACATTACACAGGAATTTGTTAGGAGTCAGAACCTTGGGCTCCCCCGCAGGCCCACTGAACCAGAATCCAGTAGCTTTATAAGATTTCCCAGGGCATTCCTACACACATTAAACTCTGAGAAAGGTAGCTCAGAGAGAAGCCTTGAAAATGTAGGAATTTGGTAAAGAAAGAATATGATAATTTTCTACATTCTTTGAGATCGCTTTTTTTCCTTGGAACTTTCTGAAAGGTCTGACTTTTCTACCTTGCTACCTTGGCATAATTTTGTAAGCCCTGGATATTTCTAGACAGCAGACACCTCCAAGAGGCATGGTTCATGTCCTCCAAGATTGAGATTTCTTGGATTGTCACTCTTGGCTCAAGTGTTGGGTTCGGGTCACGTTTGCAGTCTGAGGCTTGACAGACACACAGTGTAGGAGGCTCCCGTGCCCTCCCACTGCCAGGCCGACAGCCCCATGCATGTAAACAGAAGGCCTTTTTTTCCTTCAGGGGCATGAGACTCTCAGTTTTCACCTAGCTTGCAGTTTGGAAGCACATTCACCCTGAGAGTTCCTCCAGCACATCACAACATTGCAGGTGGTCTTAGGAGTCCCATGGTGGACTGTCTTCCTTGCCACCGGTTGCCTGCCTCTGCTCTCCAGCCATGGCCTTGCCGCTGTCACACCCGTGCTCTGGTCCAGAAGAAAGGACCCAGCCTTACACTGCACCCACTTGTAACCGCCAAACCATCCAGAGTCTAGAGGCCCCATTTCCATAGGCACCCAGGAGTTTGGCTACTTCTTTCAGATGCATCTGGATCCTTTTAGGCCTGCCTTGGGCCAGGAATCTTGTTTGGAATAGTTTCTCCTTACAGCATTTTGGCTCTTCTGCTTCTGGTGCCATTTGAAACCAGGAGGGTAAAGCCGGAAAACTTCAACAAACCCTCCTTGAATGTTAGAATGTTCAGTATTCGAGGTTTGGTCAGAAGATGGAAAACATTTCTGGTTGGTACTGAACTTTCCAGTTCCTCCAACCTTGAGGTTAATTTTAGCATGAGATCCAGGCAGGGAAAGCTAAGGGAAATGAGGAAACTAAAATTATTCTGAGTGAGAGAAGCCAGAATTCATATTGCTTAAATGGCGGAGTCAACAATACAGTTTGTGTGGCAAAGAGTGAGCCGTATCCCCAGTCTGAGCAAAGCACCTGGCCTCAGGAACTTTTTTTTTTTTTTTTTTTTTTTTTGTGCGGTATGCGGGCCTCTCACTGCCATGGCCTCTCCCGTTGTGGAGCACAGGCTCCGGATGCGCAGGCTCGGCGGCCCTGGCTCACGGGCCTAGCTGCTCCGCGGCATGTGGGATCTTCCCGGACCGGGGCACGAACCCGCGTCCCCTGCATCAGCAGGCGGACCCTCAACCACTGTGTCACCAGGAATGCCCCTCAGGAACTTTTGAATTTTACTGTAATTGCTACTCATTTTCCTGGTGGTAGACAAATTAACAAACTTCCATATGACTCTTTAGAAACTGAAGCATAACACTACCTTTTTCACTGGGGTGCTGTGAGGATCAGTAATTTTTGGACTATGCAAAGCGGGTTT